CCTTTTTCTGAATGTATATTCAACTTATTCCATGAACAGAACAGCACTTCTTAACTCAGCTCCAGGAGCTCGGAATATTATCTTTAACTCCTGCTCGGATGGTCTTTGGAGAGAGAATTGCTTCTCATGACGACAGGTATGAAAGGCCACTTTCCTTTCTAAGGTGGGTGGGGGCTGTGAGGAGCCAACCACGGGCTCCGTCGGACAGTTGCCTGTGTCTGGACCTTCATGCTTACAGGACTCACTCGATTCCGGGGGTTGAGAATTTCGATATTCTTGTCTCAGTGTGGCAGCCTCAAGTGGTCTTCAAACATCTCCTTCTTCCTGGTTATTTTTGGCCAGTGATTTAGCCTGTTGTCGTAGTACCTGGGCCCTGGGTTTCCTCCACATAACGGAAGATAGCCTCAGCTGACCGGGTGGAATAAGCTGCAGTTTTGGGCTTCACATGTTGCTCAGAAAGCACCTGAGACCGCAGACTTGAATCTGCACCGCCAAGTGTTTTCTAAAAGCTTTACTAGGCAGCAGCCAAGCCCTGGGGCACATGACTTAGATATACTTCCTGCCCTAAGGAGTTTGCGATCTAGAGAAGGCATACAGATAAGTCATGGGTGGGGGCTAGGGGGTGCTGTGGTTGAATAAGAGAGGGCTCCAGACATGGCCAGTGGCATTAACCCGGTTTCCCAGCCCCCCTCTTGTGCTGAGAAAGTGAGTAGTAGCGAGCCTGCTGGCACCTCCAGGAACCTAAGTGGAGGCTGCTGGTCCCTCTCTTCTGCACTCACCCTTTGTTTGCCTGTGGCACTGACAGCCCCCTAGTGGTGTGTCCTCGAATTTCCACCAGAATGCTCCCCCACATTGAAGTGTTTAGCTTGTAACCCAAGCTAGTGAATGATAAGCAGATGGGCGAGAGGTGAAAAGAGCGGCTTGCTTGACACAGGACTCAGGGGACTTGGGGTGACAGGCAGCAGACACTGATTCCGCGAAAGCCCCAAGTGCCCAGGTGGAAAGGCAGGGTGGGCTGCGGACTCCTGGACCTTCGGGTCCCCAACCCTGCAGCTTTCTTCTCCAAACAGCGGAACTTAAATGCATGTGCAAGCGTTCGCCCTACGCTTCTGCCGAATTCACATGGCTCCCTGGGTTTTTAGCAACACGAGTGCATGTCCTAATTCATAGAACATGCACTCAGAAGCCTCACTACCTATTTTTCTTAACTCCTCTGGGTAAACCTCACCACTTACAATTCATGCCAGATAGAAAGAATCTGT